CAACTCTGGACTCAATCTGCTGGAAGAACAAAAAACTTCCCAGAAATTTAAAACAATAGATCCTACATTCTTCTACCAGAGTGCTTTGAACAAAACCTTAGAGAGTCGAAATGGACACCTGGACTTGTTCCTCCGCTTCCTCCTTGGTCTTTCACTGCAGACCAATCAGGTTCTCCTACAAGGTCTGCTGACACAGACAAGAAGTAGCTCATTGACCAATCCCGAAACAGTTCAGTACATCAAGAAGAAGCTCAGTGAGAATCTGTCTGCAGAGAAAAGCATCAATCTGTTCCACTGTCTCAATGAACTGAATGATCTTTCTCTAGTGGAAGAGATCCAACAGTACACAAGTTCAGGAAGTCTGTCCACAGATGAACTGTCTCCTGCTCAGTGGTCAGCTCTTGCCTTCATCTTACTGTCATCAGAAAAAGATCTGGAAGTGTTTGACCTGAAGAATTACTCAGCTTCAGAGGAGGCTTTTCTGAGGCTGCTGCCAGTGGTCAAAAACTCAAGTACAGCACTGTAAGTAAATTTGTGCTCATCCCTTCATTTTCAAAATACTTAACAGAGAATCCATCCATTTTCTCCTACTTATCGGGTCACGAGGTGTAGAGTGGGTGGAAGTGCTGGAGCTTATCCAATCACCCTTAACGGTGGGAGTCAGGCTATACCTTGGGCTTTTCACCAATCTAATGCAGGATTAACAAAGAGAAACAGACAAGTATTCATACTCAACTACTGAATTAATCTTAAAGTAAAGTTGATTCTGTTCATATGGACGTAATAGTCTCACTGGGAGGGACGTTTTGTCATTCAAGTGACATCTTCAGTCTCAGATGACAACAATAGGTTTTAGGTAAACCATAGTGGATTTTTTTGTCAGAAATGTTATTGTGTTTCAGACTTGGTGGCTGTAACCTCTCAGAGAGAAGCTGTGAAGCTCTGACCTCTGTTCTCAGCTCACAGTCCTCTAATCTGAGAGAGCTGGATCTGAGTAACAACAACTTGCACGACTCAGGAGTGAAGATGCTCTCTACAGGACTGCAGAGTCTGTGTTGTACACTGGAAACTCTCAGGTAAGCAAACTTTTCCACTTTAATTCCAAAAGTCAGAATTTCTGGATAATTATTATTGCATGTACAGCTAAACTTGAGAAAAATGTAAAATTACATTTTGACATTTTACATGCATTGATGAGATTCTTATTTGCTATCTAAAAATGTTTGATGTGCAAATTCTGTTTTAGATTTGTTTGTAAAAATTACTTAGGCAATGATCATTCAGAGATTTAGGGCCATTTGTGTTCAAAGCATTTTAGTTTCCTTTTATTGTTATGAACCTTAAAGTCAGGGCTGAGATAGGACTGTAGAAAAATAGGAGAAAGCAACATTTGGCATTTAACTAGATTGCCAAAATAAAAAGTATATTGTATATACATCCACAGAGATGCTGAGACACATTTGTCAGTGATTTTTCCTGAGGTCACCTGGTATTTTGGGCTCTAAAACACAAGTAGAGTCTTGATTAGTGATCCAGCCAAAAGAGTTAACTTGTCAAACAGTAATTCTGCAAATGTACTACTTATAAAGTTAGGGAGACTAAAAAACTTGGATGAGTGACATCGACTGAAAATGCTATGTCCAGATACAAAAATCAACAAGACTGTGTCTACAAATTATGGAACAACTGAAGTTGGGAAGACTTTTTTTTTTTTTTTTAATTCTAGTGAAAAAATTTCCAAGAATCTGCAGAAATCTTAGGTGGCACTGTCCTGATGTGGTTGTGGACCCATGCAGTAATTTTCAAGAAGAAACCAAGTCTGTTGTTAATACAGTGCCAACTCAGACCCAAAGATAACAAGCATCCAGTATTAAATTAGTTTAGTCTGTTTACTCTGCGCACAGACAATCTGAAGGAATCATTTGCTGAAAACCTGGACTGGAGTAGAAAGTTTACTAGAAAATGTGAGTGCATCTTAATGGACAATCTCTACTACGGCCAACACTAAAAACCAATCAACAGATCTACACCATATCAACAGTGATCCTTGAAATTTTTGGCTAAAAGACAAACATCCACAAGGAGAATTACCCTCCATGAAGGGGTATAGAGGCCAAGATGAACCATAAAGGAAAGTTTGTCAACTATCAGAACTGCAGCAAAGACATCCATGAAATACAAAGCAATAAGGCCTTACCTGATGATTAGCTAACTGCCTAAAGAAGCATATCAGAGAGTAAGAAGCCAGTAGAATAAATCAGCTGTTTTCACATGAAACCTCCAGGGTGTGTTGCTACCAGCACGTGAACAATATGAGCATGGC